CCCTCAACAAAGAAAAGAGAAGACACAAAAGGGCTCTTTACAAACTTGTCACACACATGCTTTTTTATTCAGGGTGTCTTTGTCAGCCAGAACATCAGTTTGTTCCAAGGTTGTATTTTTAAAATGGGTTAATGTTCAACAAAACCTAGAGTATCCATCGGGAAACAGTTGGTGTGGACGAGATGAAAATCTAGCTGATGACACCAGGCCTCGCCTTCAGATGCAAATCACAGGCTTTGTGAACAAAGGTTATATTACAACTACTCCAAGTGGGGCTGTTACAGCATCCATCTGTATCGACAGCTAAATCCATCAGAGCCTTGTTTCTCTGTCCTGCCCCCCCCCCCCCCCCCCCCCCCCATCATCAGAGAAGGAAACTAAAGGCCAGTGACTTGTTAGACTGCAGGTAATGAGAGCAGGCGAGCCCTTCCAGCAGGGGATTAAGTGGGTAAAAGTCTGTCGCACTGCTAATAAACTCAGATTTAATAATGCTGCACCTGATTTGTCCATAATGTTTTTATAAATTACACACACAGCTAGTAGTTTTACTGTGCATCACGCTATTTCAGTTTATTTTTATTCAGAGGAGGTCTATGATTGTCGTGTGGGCCTGATGGATTGGTAAAGAAAAGTTATTTATTTGAAGGGACACGCAATAAACTGTAAAAAGCACCAGTTGCATGCTGCTTAAACCAATGCAAACAATATAACCAGAAAGAAATCTCTACAGAGAGAGATGGCTAGTTAACCTATGCAGGGTAATAAAAAAAATAAATAAAAAACTATTTCAAAACCAATACACAAAGAGAGCAGCACCCTTAGACCTGGTGAGACTAACACAAAACAAATACACAGATGTAGTGAAATCAGTATAAAGCTAAACCTGGGCCCTATTTCCATAAACAAAGTTAACATCAATTATTCCAAATTAACACACTCGTGTTCAGCAAACCGTATTCTTAGACCAGCTGACACAGTGAGGCAAACCGATCGATGAAAATCGATGGTTCAGCCATACATGTTGCCGACCAGCTTGGCAACACGGACTGGAGCGAGAGTTTCAGAGCGGTGAGTTATTAATCTGTATCCATAAAGTTTTAACTGAGCTCTGTCTCTACATCACAGGAACAACTTTATGTCCACTGACTGCCACAAGCTGTTTTCTGGCAGTTCAGAGCAGAGTTTTCTGTGGGAGATGGACTTTTTACACTTTGCAAACCTATTACATGCACAAAAAAAGATATATAACTCAATAAAGGAGATTACTATATATAATATTATTTCTGCACTTGATAGAACTGTTGATCATGTCACAGATGTGAGTCATAATTAAGGTTTAATAGAAGAGGCAGTCTGATATTTTTTATGCAAAATTTAGCATTTTGTTACTACTGATCAGAGAATAGTCCCAAAAAGGAAACAAAACATGGTCATTAGTGTGCCCGGTTTGCTCAGTCAGTTCAGCATGGGACTCTCAGGGTCGTGTCTGGTCCCCATATTGGGTGAAGGTTTTTTTTTTATACTCTTCAACAAATAAATTATGAGACTTTTTCTCAAAATAAAGCCTGTGCTGGAGTGTCTGCAATTTGTCCACATCCATCAACCTCTCGCATTTCCTGAAGGCTATTTCAGAGGTGTGTCAAGCACCTTTGAAAAGTTCTGAAGGACATTCAAAAGAGTATGTGGTTTGCATGACACAAATAGCTGTCAGGAAATGGGAAATTGAATTCCCCTGAATGAGAAGCGCTGAAATTTCCTCTGCCTGGGGATGCTGGGGAAATGAAAATAAGCGTCCATAGGTTGATGGATGTGGAGCAATCGCCGGGCTTCACGCTCCAGCACAAGCTTTATTGTGAGCATGTGAAACAGTCTCTTCATAATTACTTTGGTGAAGACATTCAATGAATGTGGGGATCAAACACAACCCTTAGATTGAGATTCTTGTGCTCTTCCGATTGAGCTAAACGGGAAAACAAACAACCAGTCTTAAAATATCCTTGAAAAATTGGTCCAGTGCCGAATTTACTTACCAAACCATGTCCTATCATTTTGTTTTCTCAAGATCTTGAAAAATTACGTCATCATCTCAGGAAAACAGTAAATAAAATCAACGTGTTTCCAGGTGCAAAAAAGTTGTGTAAAGCCTTTACAGGTGTAGCAGACCACAACTTTGACTGCAGCCATGATCAATGCTGGATGAAGTACTAACACAGTAGGTGCAACTTTTAACCACAGAGGACAGCGAATCATTGCTTTTCAGCCCTGCGTTAAATTACATCTTTACTCCGTCTAGTCCAACAGCTTTGTTTTCTGGTGTGTAATGAGCCACAAGGATGGTCTAACAGCATGCTTATGAAAAACAGCTCAACATGCCGTGATTTCAACTTTCTGAAGTGCAGCAGCCTCATTGCTTCTGAATAAGCTGCAGTAAATTGTAGTGTCCCTTCTAAGCATCACCAGTCAGGACCCCATCTTTCCTAACAACACACGTCTGCCTGTGTCTGAATGCAGGCCATTACCAACCTTCTGTAATATCACATCCACTTCAGCTATCCTTCTGCCTCCATTTTGTGGTTGAGAAATGCTAGAAAATTGTTTGAATATTGATTGTATTACTGTGTCTCTCCCCACAACACAGTCTTAAAGTCAGAGGCCGTTCTATTTTGTAGAATAAAATCTCTTCAGTGTTTCATCAAACCTGTATTAGCTGTGTCTTTAAATTTATTATTCAAGCAGAGTCTCAAATAATAGAAATACTGAGTTACTACCCAGCCAGAGGGTACCTCATGCCTTGATAATGGTTTTAAGATGGACTATATGGTCTGTCCACATAGTTAAGTGCACAAAGCCGGGACAAAAAAGAAACATTTCTCTGGGTTTATTAGAGAGAGAGGGAGTGAGTTGTGGCGCAGTTGTGTTGTCCAGCACCAGAAACCATAATGAAAGGAACAGAAAGTTGTGAACACTTGTCATGATTCGGGACAAATGTGACCCGTGAGAGGACAATAAAAAACAGGAGCCTCCCGTGAGCTAACCTCTGTTGCTCCTTGTTTACTTCTGTAGCCTCAAGACAACGTAATGTGTGTGCCGTTGTGTTATTGTTCTGCGCATGCGGGTCACATTCAGGCCGCCGACAGTTCACACTGGAGTCTGATACGGGCCACATTTAAACAATAATGTGAACTGTCAAACAAAAAATTGGAATTGTGCATTAAGGCCTGCAGTCTGAACGTAGCCTAAGTGTCTTTTGGTAATTGGTGCTTAGTTTAAATAAAGACACGTTATGTGTGCTTCAAGCCGCATGCAACCCTTTCCACAAAGTGTCGTCAGTCTGTCTGATGCTACGTCATATTGGAATTGGAGTTGTACTCTAATCTGTGGAGCCAGTAAGTTCTTGTAAGACTCAGCCTTGGCCAATTCCCAGAGAACACTGATATCTGCTCGCCTGATGCCTGAGCTACTGTCTCTACCTTGTCAGTGTAACTGTTGCCTCCCTAACAAGGACAGTTACATGAGAGAGGTAACCAGAGCTGGAAGGTCAGTGAACACTTGTTGGGTCAGCTAATGAGTCCAAACTACACCTTTCCCTGTTACATTAAGTAAGCCCCCTAAGAAATATCTTTAACATCCAGTAAATGGCCTCCTGGCTGCATTCCACTTCCTCCGCAATCTCAGTCCAAGAACTGTGTGTCTTTTGCGTTTCTCGCGTGTTTGGTCTTGACGCCATGAACAAGCCTGAGGCTCTTATCACCCAACATCAGTGTTAGACATTAATAATGCTGTTGTGGCTGAATGGGAGCAAATTCCTGCAGCAGGTTCCACCATCTGGTGGGAAGCCTGAAAGCAGAGGAGCGGGGACTGACACACCAGCAGGTTAACGCCCGTGGCTTTAATGACATGTTCAGCCGTTACATATGGGTGTAATGTTTGGGTGTCAACATAGTTTTAGCTATGTAAAACAATTTTGGTGAACTTCTTTGCTGTAATGTGAGAGGCTGACCCCATTGTGTAGCTTTCAATAATACCACACCGTCTTCCTCAGCAGATGGAGGTTGCCCAGTTGTCATGGAATCGTTATAATTAAAATTATACGGAGTATTTCAGACTAAGACTGTGAATTGAGATCTCATCACACCTGAGAGGTTTTTTTTTTTGCAGGAATGCCACAGAACTCTATGAAGCCCAGTGCATTTCTTTTTCTTCAATTCTAATATCTCCTTGAGTTCAGTCCACTTTTAAAGGTCAGAAAGATATTATTCACACCTGGGTTGCACAATACAACATCTCTGAAAGTATGGTGAAGTGGGTTGATGCTCACGCGTTCCTTTATGTGCTCCTGAGTGGAATGAACAGAGAAAGTAAATACATTTCAGCAAACATAACAGACAGATTCTGAATGTCTCGGCTGCAATTACACGACCTGGAATCAAACTTGTTTTGACTTTAAACCTTGACAGAATGACATGGTCTCAAAACTCTCCAATAAACAGGCTTCACATCCTCGTGACTTTTGTTTACGAGCCCCGGCTCATTTTTAATTGGATAGTCAGGACCTAAAAACAAAAATGCAGCAAAGTCGACTTTTCTATTAGACGTAAGAAAACACGGGACTCTTGTTTAAGTTGCGGACTGTAATTATTTTTGGTGTTATAAAGCATAATAACCCTAATATTATTCATAGATTATGTTTTATGCTTTTAGAGTTAGATTGAGGCTATCTATAATTACACCTCACAGAAAATAATTGGGTTTCTCAGCGTCAAAGCAATTAAACATGTTCATCAATAAAGGAAGCTTTTTTAATGGCTCTGCGAATCCCCCGGTGTCTTTGGCTTTGGCACTGTCATTTGTTTTTATGTGTTAAATTGTCTGATGACTGCTCTTAATGTTGTCGAGAAAATAAACTTTATTTTGTTCTTCGGAGTTAAAGTTAACTTTACATGTTACAAAACTCACCTCACAGCGCTTGATCAATCTGTCCCACCTCCTCTGCGCTGCAGGAAATCAGCGACACGGAGATCCTGGAGCTTACCCACAGTGCACTGGGGCGCATGACGGTGATCCGGCAGATCTTCCCCATGTGGAGGGACAGCAGCAGCCGCTGTATGAGACACAACCACCGGATCTCCTCTCTGCTGTGTGACCCGCAGGAAGGATACCTGCAGAACCTGGAGGTAGACTGGTTATTACTGGTTAATTCTCTGTGATCAATGATTTGTCATTCATAAGTACATCAGGTACAAATACGAGGTTCCTGTACTTGAGCATTTTCTTTACATGACACTTTTTACTACACTAAATTGATCTGACAGCTTCAGTTACTTTACAAAGTCAGATTTTTACACACATTGAGAGATTATAAAATATGGTGTTTATACAAGCACAGGGGGAAAGAATTGGTCAGTTGACAGAAAATTTTTCATGTGAACACATTTCATTGTCACAAATGTGGAGATTTGCTGCTTTTCAAATTAATAATTTCAATAACTAATGTTGAAGGTTTGGACTGTTGGTCGGACAAAAGAAAGCATTATGAAGGCGTCACCCTGGGTAACTGACGGCATTTCTCATTTCTCATTATAAGTTTTACGATCAATCAATCAATGGAAAAAATAATCAGCAAATGAATTTATAATGAAAAATCCTGCTTTTACATGAATGCATTTGTAACAATAATCAAATGACATGTGTAACAGTGACAGGGACAATTTTTCTGCATTGAGTACTTTTAATATTTTGAGTGAATTTTCCTGATTATACTAACATACTTTTACTTAAGCAACATTTTCAATGCAGAACCTTTACTTGTAACGGAGTACTTTTACAGTGTTGTATTAGTACTTTTTCTTAAGTAAATGATCTGATGATTCTTCGTAGACCACTGCAGGACTGAGGAATCCTCCCATGATTTAAAAATGATTACTTCCTGGAAGTTTCCCTCTGTTCCAGAGGAATTTTTTACCATCTTGACGTTTGATTTTAAGACGAAATTTGCAGATGATTAATCATAACATTCTAATTTTATTCTACTTTTCTTTGATATTAACGTATCAACAGAGCAAACTCTGCTCACAGCACTCTTCAGACTTTCCTGTTTACAGTTTAAATATGATGTATAGAGTTGTTCTAAGGAGGCATCAGACCACCTCTTCTTCACTCGATGCTTCACCTGTTGAACACTACTCTGCTGTTTGATGAAGGGAAAGAGGACTGCATTGTCTGACCAAGCCGCTTGTTGATACGCCTACACAGTTTCTGTTGACAGGTTTTGCACTAAACATCGCTCACACTTACTCTGAAAGCATATGTGGCCGCACATTATGAAAAGTACATATAGTTATATTGCTGTAATAAGAACTTTTCTAAGTCAGATTTAACTAAGCTACGATTTAATGATGAGGAATCTTCGTTTCAGTATAATAGTCAGGTTATTGAACGTTACTGGTAACTGACTTGAAATGAATGTGTAGCTGACCTAAAGTTGCATGAATATTGGTGACATAAACAAATAAATGTGCTCTGATGCTAGCAAGGCTATTTTGCTAGCCTCAATCTTCATCCATCCGTCCATCATCAAGCGCTTATCCTGCGTACAGGGTCGCGGGGGTCTGGAGCCAATCCCACCTGACATCGGGTGAAAGGCGGGGTACACCCTGGACAGGTCGCCAGTCCATCGCAGGGCCACACATAGACAAACCAGTCACATCCAGAAGACAATTTAGGGTCATAAATTAACCTAGTCCGCATGTCTTTGGACGGTGGGAGGAAGCCGGAGCACCCACGCAGTTCTGGCCTCTGAAGGGGGATGGGACAGAAAAAAAAGTTTAACAATCACTGTGACGATGCACCAGCCGCCAAGTGAAACATAGTGAAGCAAACTTGCACAAGTGTCATTCAGACATGTTTTTACATGTCTATTCTTTTGTACTTTTGTACAGGTTTTAAAACGCGTCTCCTGACATGAAGTTATGGTTGTGATTTGGGAAGTGTGCATGATGTTGGCCGCTCTGCAAGCCTTTCTGACCTACGGTTAACCATGACAGCCTTTGAAAATGTTTGAAAATGCTAATGGGTATGAAAAATGTATGTAGGATACAACCTTGATTGTCTGAGCGAAGTCGATGACAGAAGTCTTATAACAGTGTGAAAATTAGCATAGTTTAAAACACCTAAATAGAGTTTGGTAAGTGTTTGAGGAATTCATGTTCTCAAATTACTAATTTGTGCGCTCAATATACTTGATTTGTTCAGAACAATTTGTGTCCTCGAATGACTGAATCATACTTTAAAAATCATTTAATTGCTCCACATCGCTCTCTCTCCTCTGAAGGATAGAAATTCTTCACCAATAAATGACAAACATAACACAAAGTTTGGTTTAATGGCCAAACAGACCCCCGATTAAAGTGGCCCATAATGAGAGTGTTAAGGGAACAGGGAGGGGTGCATCAATGCTTTAGGGAACGAATTAAGTAGTTTGAGGACACCGTTTAGTTAATCAAAGTCACAAAATATTAATTTGAAGGGACAGATAAGTAATTAAATTATTAAATAGAGGGAAAAAGCAAAAGCTAATGAATGGCTAAATTAGTCATCTGAGGACAGGAATGACTAATTTGAAGGAAAGGTTCTTGCATTAATACTTCACCTTTATCCTGCTGCCTGTCTTTAGATCCAAACACCCCTTGTTTTCTCTGCAGGGCAAATGTGCATTTGACCCATCCTATTTATTTATGGAGCATCCACGGTGTAGCGCCCAGCCCTGAGGTCCATTCATGTCTCTGGGTGGTAAGGTGGCAAATACAGGTAGAGCCAGCTCCACACAGAACAGCCCCAGTCTTACCTGGTGGTCTTTAGACGACACTGAGACGACTTGCTGCACAGATCTCTGACACGTCTGTGAATTCTTTTGCACATTCATATATTCAGCCACCCACACAAGTACTGTACACATACAGAATACTGAGTGCTCTGAGGCTGTCAGAACACATCTTAGTGTTTAAATATCAGCTCAATGTTAAACGAGGACGCACAAAGTCTCAGACTTCCTCTCGGCACACTTCAGCAGTATCACTGATACGCTGCAGAATTATAATATATATATATATATAGCCGTAGTACAGTTGTGATTTGTTTAAAAATGGACGGGAAACATCACTGTCATGTTTTAGGATTTTAAAAAGGACAGTTAAATTAACCACTACAGGAAAGGTTTTGGCGGTAGACAGTGAAACAGATGAACGAAGGCATGACTTTGGCGTGGAGCATGATTGCTCAGTTGACCCTTGGTTGACTTTCTATTTGGGCACAGCACCTACAAAACTTAAAGTGATAATGGTGTGTTCTTTGTAATTTTTCAACAAAGATTCCTTTATTTGAGTTGAGAAAAGTAGCTCTTATTATTAGTTGCTGGCAGATTTGATCAGCTGTAGCTAGCTAGCACAGCATTCACTATATGAGTTGGTTCAAAACCCCGTCTTCAGCTGACCTTTTAAAGAGGTGTATTATGCTCATTTTCAGGTTCAAAATCTTATTTAGGGGTTGTACCAGAACAGGTTTACATGGTTTCGTTTTCAAAAAGCATCATATTTTTTGTCATACTGCACATTGCTGCAGCTCCTCTTTTCACCCTGAGGTGGCTGTGTGAACTGATACCGGACTCCGCGCTGCAGCTGGCAGGCTTCCAACTCTACAGAGCGACCGCGACACAGAACTCTCCGGCAAAACAAGAGGTGGAGGTGTCTGTTTTTATATTAACAATGGCTGGTGACAGTGATTCAGCAGTACTGATCTCCTGATATGGAATTTCTTATCATTAACTGTAAACCGTTTGTTATTGTTCTCTGTGACTTTAACAAGGGGAAAAGGTAAAAGTGTCCAATCAGAGAGGGGAACACTTTGGATCACTGCTACACCACAGTTAGCAGTGCCTATCACGCCGTCACACGCGCTCCACTGGGACACTCTGATCACGTGATGGTCCATCTGATTCCTGCTTACAGGCAAAAATTAAAGCCCTGTAAACCTGTAGTGAGGACATCAAAGAAGTGGACTAGTGAAGCTAGTGAAGGCGTGTTTGGACTGCACAGAAGGGATGTTTTCAAGAAGGCTACCAACAATCTGGATGAGTTTACAGAGGCTGTGACGTCCTACATCAGCTTCTGTGAGGACAGCTGCATTCCAACACGGACCAGGGTGAGTTATAACAATGACAAACACTGGTTCACAGCTGAGGTCAGACAGCTGAGGTTGAAAAAGGAGGAGGCATTTAGGAGTGGTGGCAGGGCCGGGTGCAGGGTGTTAAAGTACAGGTTTAGCAAGGAGGTGCGAGAAACTAAACGACTGAACGCAGAGACTAAAGAACCAGTTCTCTGCTCAGATCACAAACTATAAACCCAAAGTCCTCCACTCCGTAAACGATTCTCGCCTGGCAAATGAGCTGAACCAGTTCTACTGCCACTTTGAGAGTCAATCGGACACCATCCCCCGTGACTATTCCGCTCAGCTTCAGTCCACCACATCTTCACCTCCCTCCTCAGAGCTGGCTAGCTGTACCTCCTCCCCTCCTCTCTCCATCACAGAGAGGGAAGTCAAAGGTCTTTTCAGGAGGCAGAAACCCCACAAAGCAGCTGGGCCGGACTCTGTCTCCCCACCCACCCTATGACTGTGCTGATCAGCTGTCTCCGGTGTTCACAGACATTTTTAACACCTCACTGGAGTCATGTCATGTGCCAGCCTGCTTCATAGCCTCCACCATCATCCCTGTCCCCAAGAAACCAAGGACCACGGGACTAAACGACTACAGACCCGTCGCCCTGACATCTGTGGTTATGAAGTCCTTTGAGCGCCTTGTGTTGTCCCACCTAAAATCCATTACAGACCCTCTCCTGGACCCCCTGCAGTTCACCTACAGAGCCAACAGGTCTGTAGATGATGCAGTAAACATGGCCCTTCACTACATCCTCCAGCACCTGGACTCCCCAGGAACCTACGCCAGGATCCTGTTTGTGGATTTCAGCTCTGCTTTTAACACCATCATCCTGGCCCTGCTTCAGGACAAGCTATCCCCAGCTTAGCGTCCCTGACTCCACCTGCAGGTGGATCACTGACTTCCTGGCGGACAGGAAGCAGCACGTGAAGCTGGGAAAACATGTCTCTGATTCCAGGACCATCA